TATATATATATATATATATATAGTATCCGATTATGATCTAACCAGTCACGAACAGACCTCATAGAAATCTATCAACAGGTATTCATGTCATCGAACAATTACTCATTAATTTCTTATCAATTTTAAAAAAAGTTTAGATTCTTAATTTTTTTTAAGAACGTAGTGACGCCGCTGATAAAGGCGGTAAAGGAGGGCAATGAGGCGGAGGTGCAGATGCTGCTCTCAAATGAAGCCGACGCCAACGCCGCGGACTCGCACGGACAGTCCACCCTGCACCACGCGGTTTGCTCTGGCCAGCTGGACATCGTGCGCCTGCTACTGGAGGCCGGCGCCGACCCCAACGTCGCCGAGACGAACAAAAGAGCGACGCCGCTGATGATAGCGGTGAGGGAGGGCAATGAGGCGGTGGTGCGGTTGCTGCTCTTACACGGTGCCGACACCAACGCTGCGGACTCGCAGGGAGAGACCTCCCTGTACCACGCGGCTAGCTGTGGCCAGCTAGACATTATGCGCCTGCTACTGGAGGCCGGCGCCGATCCAAACGTCGCAGTGACGAAGAGTGGAATGACACCGCTGACGATCGCGGTGAGTAAGGGCGAGGAGGCGGTGGTGCGGATGCTGCCCTCACACGGCGCCGACCACAAAGCCGTGAACTCGCGCGGACGAACCTCCGTGTACCACGCGGCTGGCTTTGGCCAGCTAGACATTATACGCGTGCTACTGGAGGCCGGCGCCGATCCAAACGTCGCAGAGACAAAGAGTGGAGTGACGCCGCTGACGATCGCGGTGAGTGAGGGCGAGGAGGCGGTGGTGCGGATGCTGCTCTCACACGGCGCCGACGCCAACGCCGCGGACTCGTACGGATGGACCTCCCTGTTCTACGCGGCTTGCTATCGCCGGCTGGACATCGTGCGCCTGCTACTGGAGGCCGGCTCCGATCCCAACGTCGCCAAGAAGATGAGCGGAGAGACCCCGCTGATAATGGCGGTGAGTAACGGTAATGAGGCGGCGGTGCGGATGCTGCTCTCACACGGTGCCGACGCCAACGCTGCGGACTCGCACGGAGAGACCTCCCTGTACAACGCGGCTCACTTTGGTTGGCTGGACATTATGCGCCTGCTACTGGAGGCCGGCGCCGACCCAAATGTTGCCATGATGAAGGCGGTGAGGAAAGGC